CAGCCAACAACGGGGGGTGAGCTTCTTTGCCATTATTGCCCATTGGTGTCCCCAAACGCAACTTGAAAAACCTCGGTGGCGTCCAAGAATCTCAGCTGCCTTTCCTACACGCCCAGCTCGTTTACCGGTCGCGTGCACTGGGGCTTTGCTCCAAAGGAGAAATCGGCATAATGCACGCAATGGTAAAAACCCAAAGCAGCCGCACTCTCTGAATCGAGCCACGACAGAACTTCCACCAAGGTTGCAAGAGTTTTAAAATACACAGTCAAAGGGAAGCTCAGCCTGCAAACAGCTCAAGGAGACAGATTTCTGGGGGAAGGGGAAGGGGAGCCGAGTAAGAACAACAATCGTTAGCATTTCTATAACCCTTCAACTTCTTTCTATCCATCCTGATTATGGTATTCAATGGCATATTGCTGAGATGCCCCGTTCAGCATGCGGCATGAAGAGGCTAACTGCAGAAGAGATGTGTGTTGAAGGGGAAGACTCTCTCAAATTTTCGGGATCTTGCAGGTCCGGGGAACGTGTCCAAGCACCTTGTCAATGTTTTCGAGCTGAACTAACTGCAACTCATCCAAGGACCAGGACCAGGATGTGCTCTGGATGCTGCCTCAGCTTCAAAGGGCACAACACTGGAGGCTAAGCCCCATCCTGTAAGGGTCTAGCAAACCTTTCAGCAGGCACGGGCAGACCTACCACTGCTCTGGGGCCGGTGCGCAGCAAGCCTTCAACGACCCTACAAGCTCCCCTGGGGAGCAGACACACCCTCATCTGTTAGCTGGTTCCAAAGGCTGGGATATTTTTTCCCCCTTTACGTGTTCCCGCACAGGTAGCTCTGGAATTATCTGTCGCCTGTTTCGGACTCAACACCTCAAGGGACCGCCATGGCTCCCCCTGCAACTTGATGGGGGGAGCCTGATGTGAAAACAGAGGAAGGCTCTCTACTATGTATCGATGGCGGGAATTACACCCTGTTCGGCAGCATGAAGCCCGTGCTCACGGACTGCTGTCAACAGCCCCAACAGCTTGGCTACCGGGCCATACCGAGACGGAAATAATGACCACAACCCCACCAGCAGCTAATAGGGTCCGAGGATTAATCCTTGCCGTTTCCAGCAAGCTGGCTCTGGTGCAGTTGACCACCTAGCAAGTGCCTGCCCCGTTGGGGAAATTAACTGGCCCTTCACAGGAAGCTGAGGCCTGCAAGGCTGTTGAGGAAGGTCTTCTGGAATACAGTGCAGGGGGCACCAAGCAGAGCAGAGAGGGACGGAACAGGGGATTGGATCTATTTCTGCAGATTTAGCACCGAATTTAATATTCAGTAGAATGCTTTGTGTCTAGCAGACACCAAGGAAGCTGGCTAGTTCTGCTGGATGCTGGGAATAAAATGCAGAAAAGAGTCATTGCGGTAGCTGAAGTGAGAGTGCCCTGCGGTGGCCTCTTTCCCGCCAGACACGACGGCCCGCCCAGATTTGGTTTGCAAAAAAAGTCTGTTAATTGCTAATAGCCCTGTGCTTCTAAGTTCTACTCCTGGGATGGAAGGATTAACAAATGGAGAGCTGAGACTTCAACACCCGCAAGGAGACTCATAATTCAACCCTAGAAGATAAAACACCCCCTACCTGGAATGAGTTCATTGCCCTGGGGAGGTGTCAGAGGCAACCAATGGCCATTGATCTCTTCTGGAGGCTGTTTAGTTGATGCAGGTAATGGAAACAGCAGCGTCGGCTCTGCTGGTCTATTTCTCTCACTCCGCCCCCCCCCCTAAATTCATGGTGTTATGAGTAACCACTGTAAAGGCACATGTTTTTTTGGTTATGTTTTCTGCTGGTATTTCCTCATTTTGTTGGAACTGTGAACAACATTAAGAGCACGGCATAGCATTCCACCCACTGGTTCAATGGCCTGAGCTGTTTGCAAGGGCAGCCGAACGTGCCGCTCTCAATGCCCAGGCAGAGACTGGCGCTGTCAGTCCACGGCCCAAGCTGGAGGAGGGCTCTCAAAAGGAGGGGAGTCTGCAAAACGCTCCCGAGGTCTCTGCTGATGCACACGCACCCCTGCGGCACACAAGATCCTGCGTGCAAAGGGGAAGGTTGAGATATTGCCCCTGCTGCTCCCACTGACCCCACCGCCTGGTCTGCACCATTCACACCAACTCCAGGAGACGGGAACAAGGACTGCTCAAGCAGAGGGTCCCAGGTCAGGCCTTGCTGGAGTCGGTACAGGGCAAAGCCGATGGCCTCTCAGTGACGCGCCGGGTCCCACCCTGGCTGGGAGACCCAGCACGAGGCGAGGGCAACCCGCTGGCTTGGGGATGCGAAGGGCTGTGGCCCCGCGCGTCCGGAGGACACCAGGGGAGTGGTCACGGGCGGGGGGCGATTCCACTGCTGAGCCGTCGGGGAGAGAGCCAGACCTGTTCTACCAGGCTAGGCGGGCAGGCCCCAGGCTCTGCAGGTCCGTGAAAGGCCCACACATGCGCCAACCAGCAGCAAAGGGTCCCCACCCCTCAAACTGGCCAGGCCTTGCAGTGCCTGCGCGGAGCTGAGCACCCGGCCTTGCCCTCCATGCGGTGGCCTAACAGTTAAAACGTGCACATCTTCCTGCATCCGGCATTTCCGTGCCCTCACAGAGACCTGCAAGGAGTAGCTGCAGGCAACTGGAACCCTCCAGATGCTGGCTAGGAGTGATGGGGGCAGAAGCCAAAACATCTGGAAGTGCAGAAGATGCCCTGGCGCCGGGCTGGGGAACACACGTAACATCTGGACGTGGAAACAGGTAGGCTGAAATTTATATTTATATTATATTTATAATATAATAATTTATAATATTATTTATATTATATTATATTTATATTTATAGGCTGAAATGTGAATGTGGTGCTTTCCTGCTCCCTTTTTTCCCACCCTGCCAGATGCTACAGGGAGGGTGGTCGGCAGACTTCCCATCCCCTGTCACAATTGGACAGGAAATAAATACGGGACAATTTTTGGGCAGGTCACAAATTGGAAGAACCGCTGACACGAGGTGGCCACTGTTCACAGGAAGCACCACCTGGAAAAGAATCATTTCAGCTTCCGCCAGAAAGAATTTCGGCAACCGTCCAGTTTGGAGGAGGTTATGAGGCACAAATGTGAGTCTGAGAGAAATGATGCCTTGCTCGCTACACAGGTGTGTATCTTCCTTTCCACAGAAGCGACTCGCTCCAAGACCTAGACAATAACCCCCCCACAAAGAGATAGAAACCTGCCATATGGTCTCTCTAGCACTCTGTGCCATGTGGGAACGACTGCTACCACATTCTCAGTCCAGAATTAGCACTTAAAGAAGAGTGATCGCTTCAATTAGAAGCCGCCCAATCCAAGAAAGAGACAAAAATATTAAATTAGAAACAATTCCAAATTATGAAACGGTGCAGAGGCTGAAAATTTACAAGTTGTTACACATAGCATAAATATAATTATGATTCAGAGAGAATGAATGACAAGCAATGCGGGTTCAAAGCTCCCAAATTGCTGGCAATAATTCCACTATGGAAGCAAATGCAAAAGGAACGTGGAGCGGGGGGAGTGCGGGGGGGGGGGGTGCCTGCCAAGAATGGCAGACAGCAGGAAGCTGAGAAATCAGGGCTGCTGGGAGAGAACGCAAAACCTCAAGATCTCCCAGGCAAACCACTGCAGTTTTGCTGTTGCTGCAAAGAACAGCGGCCACCAACTCTTGCAGCACTGAAAAGACCCTCCTTTCACCTGGGTCTTTACAGAAGGAGCACAGAACTTCGGCTGGGAATTCCCTTCCCACCCAGCTCAGCATTTCCACCCCACTGCAGCGTTTCTCCAGAGCTAAGCCTGACCCTCACGCCGAAAAAGGTTTAACGCCCATTTCCTGCAGGGAACAGTCACTGCAGGAAAAAATAAAGACTCCAAAGACACCACAGATAAGTTGCTCCTGGAAAATCCCCAAGACATTTTGAACTGAAGGTACTTCTTCACAGAAGCAACTTCGAGAGTGCTAGAGAGTAGATACTTCAAATGTCATAGGATGGGTCAAGACATGCAGTTAATAAAGATAATTAGGCTTCATTTAAACTGCTGTGCTGCTGGGCTGGTAGATCGAAAGGTCACCGGTTCGAATCTGCACAACGGGGCGAGTTCCCGTTGCTCCGTCCCAGCTCCTGCCAACCTTGCAGTTCGAAAGCATGCAAATGCAAGTAGATAAAAAGGTGCCACTTCGGGGGGCAGGTAGCAGCGTTCCGTGCACCTCGGTGTTCAGTCATGCGGCCACACAACCACGGAGACTGTGTGCAGACAAATGCTGCTCCTTGGCCAGGAAACGGAGATGAGCACCGCCCCCGAGAGTCAGGCATGACTGGACTTAACGTCAAGGGGAAACCTTTACCTTTCAAATGTCAATACTTAAGAAAACTCATAGAAAATAGGAGAGTTGGAAGGGGCCATCAGCTCCTGCCCCCTGCTTCGTACAAGACTCCCAGTTCAATCCTCCCCCCCAGTTCAGCTGCATCTTGAATGCTTCCGGTGTGGGAGAGCTGACAACTTACCTAGCTCATCAGCTCCACTGCCATCCTGCCCCAACAGTCGGAAAACTTTTCCCGCAATCTAGCTGGAACCTGGCTTCCTGAAACTTGAGCCCGCTGTTTCATGTCCTGCACTCTGGGATGACTGAAGGGAGATCCTGGCCTTCCCCTTTGTGGCAGCCCTTCAGGTCCTTGGAGAGAGCCATCCTGCAGTGGGAGAGCCGTGCAGCGATGGGGCCTGTGACCCAGGGAGGTGGCGGGCTCTCCACTCCGGAGGCATTCAAGAGGCAGCTGGAACGCCATCTGAGAAGGATGGCTGAAGTTGGCTGGACTCCCTGAGAGTCCCGTGGAGTGTGGACTCCCTTATAGGCCCCGTCCAACTCCACTGTTCCATAATTTTATGATTCTAACCTCAGCGTTGCGCAATAGTAATGCTCAAGGCAGGTTTCAGGAGTATCAGGAAGATGCTTACTTCCCCATCCAAGTGGCGTAGCTTTCAGGGAGTCTCGGAATGAAGAGAATGGCGTGCCCACTGTCCACCTCCACGGCTCCATAGCAGTCCGCCTCGGTCACCCCGAAAGTCCAGTGGAAGTAAGATTCCTAAAAGTGATGAATTCAAGGACACTTCATGATTCTGATTCTTTGCTCAATGTTTTTAAAGAGACGTATTTGGAAAGATTTCAGGCTCTGTCAAAAAATAGTGGTGCATCTGGCAACCTAAACCAGGTTTAATGATTTCAAATGGACACAAAACACCTTTGAGAACGTCTTCGTGTAGCTTTAAACAGGCGATGAAAGTAAACAGATACGCTTGGCAAGTAGGGAACTGCCAGTAATTATGACACTCAGCACTCTGGTAGTAGAGATTTATATGGAAGTGGACTATTTATTTCAATGGAACTTGGTCATAGCTTGGGTCCTGGTTACCTGAAGGAGCGCTTACATCCATATTTGCCCAGTCGCCCCCTGAGATCGGCGGGAGAGGCCCTTCTCCGGGAGCCCTCCGTGAGAGAAATTAGGAGGGTGGGCACTCGGAGGAGGGCTTTCTCAGCGGTGGCGCCTAAGTTATGGAATGCGCTCCCCAGAGAGGTCCGCCTGGCGCCGTCGTTATTTATGTTTCGGCGCCAGGCTAAGACCTTTTTATTTAAGCAACATTTTAAATGCTAAATACAATTGAATTTTATCTGGCCAGGGCGGCTTATTTTATAATGTGTGTTTTAATTAAGATTATTTTATATGGATATTTTAACTGATTGTTTTATCTATGTTGTAAGCCGCCCCGAGGCTTCGGCGAATGGGGCGGCATAAAAATGTTTTAATAAATAAATAAATAAATAAATAAATAAATAAAATGAGGGATGGCAGCAATTAAAGCAAGCTCTTCCTCCCCTGCCCCAAGGAGTGAGGCGGCTCGTTACCAGGTGCCCGAGCTGCTTATCTACCCCTCACACAGTGCCCGAGCGGAGCCGGCAAACCTCCCAGCTTGAGGACGTGGCACCAATTCTTTTGGCACTTCTACCAGCGAACAGGGACTCGCGGCCCAGATCCGCCCAGGGGCCTGAGCAGAACTGAGAGCCAGTGCAGCGCAGTGGTGAAGAGGAGTCCAAGTCTCACTCAGCCATGGAGCCAGCTGGCTGACTTGGGGCCAGATGCAGACTCTCTGCCCAGCCCACCTTGCAGGGCTGTTGTGAGGATAAGATGGAGGAGGAGAGTCTAAGCCACTTTGAGTTCATTGGAAGAAAAAACAGGATATAAATCTAATAAACAAACAAACAAAATGTGCCAGCCACAGGATTCGCAGTGGCGCTGGGTATGACCCTGTGTTTAATGCCTGTTTGCTCTCTTACATCAGGGGTGTCAAACCACCTCCCACTTAAAAGCTGAATTCAGCTTTGAAGCCCTGGGGGTCACATTGCAACAACAGCAGGGCCGGAAGCAAAACACACAGGGGCCTGCCTAGCTATCTATCAAAAAACAGCAGCAGCACGTATTTTAACTTAAGATGGTGACTCTGCTTTTCAGTGGTGCTGCTGGAAAGGAATGTCAAATCAACTCCGACTTCTGATGACTGCAAAGGAGTGCCCTCAACAGCCCAGCCCTTGTGAGTTCGAGGCTGTGGCTCCCTTGATGGATTCCATCTTGTTAAGTTCAGGCGAAAGATAATTTAAATCACTGAGAGCTTAAGAGAACAGAATAAACAGTTTAAAAAGTAAAATGTCTGGAAATTTGCAAGCTTGGGCCTCACCCCCCCAGCCTCAATTCCCACCTTGGAAACGGGAATTTTTGCCATCATGGAAGGGTTTGCTTTTTAGTTAATGAGATGAAGCACACAAAGAATTCTGCGCATTCCAGCACTTTATCAGGAAGCTTATTTCAGGGCACGCAGATTCTGGTTGCTCAAGAAACACAGAAACAGAGCGAGTCAGAAGGGGCCTCCCGGGCCATCTAGTCTGACCTCCAGCACCAGCCCGCTCTGAAGTTTATACGCTGCTCTTCGTGGGTGTGCCCCACGGCGCTGTATGCAACCAACAAGATGTGCCAGAAAGACAGACAAATGCAAAACTGTAAAAGCCCTTGGCGACAAAGGAACCCATGCAATAGCACCACCCGTGCGCGAAGGGTCCGACATCCTGGGAGAAGAGGAACTGTCTTGGCCAGCGCTCGGAGGATGGTGAAGCCCGCTTCTTTCTAGCAGGACTTCCATCACGGCGGTGCCGCAGCTGCCGCAGTGAGAGGGCTGGAGCGCTAGAACGAGACTCCGAAGATCCGGGCTCTATTTTCCGTGCCGCCATGAAACCCGCTGGGCCAGCCGCTCACACTCAGCTGAACCTCCCTCACAAGGTTGTTGCTTTGAGGATAAAACAGGGAGCAGCGGAGACCTGTAACTCTGCAGCAGGCGAGCCCTTCTCCCTGGCCACTGCTCACTTTCTCCTATAAGAACACACCTGGCTGCTAAGCAATGTTTCTCAGCGACCCCCAAATCTTGCACCTACTTTCTTGACTTCCCAAAGCACTTTTGGAGTGCTTCTTCCACAATTTTCTCAGGCCTTTAAAACATATTTTATGGGTGCAATGCCTCATGTGGCTGTCATCATCTGTTCTAAACGGCTCAGTTATTTATCTCTTTTAAATTAGGAGTTTGTGTTGCGGCCTTGAAATGGATGTCTTTTAATGAGTTTCATCACTGAATGTTGTTATAGTTGGTTTTATTGTTTTGCTTCTTTTATGCACAATGCCGGGAGACCTTCAGCTTCAGGGAAACTAAAACTGAAAGAGCAGATGTGCCGATTTTCAGGAGGGGCCCTTCTTACAGAACCACTGCTTGCAGAGACTCCAGACAGGGCCTTCCCGGGGCCACTCCCAGGCTGTGAATTCCCTGCCGAGGGAGACCAAATTGGCCTCGCTCAGCTGCTTCTCCATGAGTCTTTTTCCAGGAATGCCTCCGGCACATAAGCTGCGCTGAAGGCGGTGGGCTGAACTGATCCGTGCTGTCATGCTTTTAATGCAACAGACTGGATGTTACATGTTAATTAAGATGTTATCATTAATCGTCTTGAGGAACTCTTTTTTGCTCTGTGGCACGCTGAATCTAACTACCTTTTTCCTCTGTTTGCCCAAATCTGCCTCTATGTATGGAGTTCAGCAGTTTTAAGTCCAACTTATGAATGGCTACCTGTACAGCAAACGAGTCATACTGGAGCCCTCTGGGGAAAAAGCGTTGCTGGCTGCTTTAGAAAAGATCCTCTGACATAGACCAAATATAACATTTGGCTCGAGCTGCTTTGCACAAGCTGCTTCTGAAGACACAGAGCAAAAATGCATATTCAGCAGGTCTGTGGGCTGATTTTATGATCTGATAATGTTGCAATAGCCATTTTGACGGCCCTCAGAAATCGGTGCACTGCAACTTCTATAGTCATTATGAAACGTGGATGTGCTCTCGGTCCAAGTAAGTGTTTTGCAATTCACGGGGCTTGTGGAAAGCAGCCGGCCACCAATAAAAAGGGCGACAACGGAACACATAATCTACGCTGTTAGGCTCTTAAGAGATATGGAAAGAAAGTGCAATAAAAGGAGAGAGATAAAAGGAGAGAGGTTTGCTCATGCCCCAGCTCACCTGGCGAAAGATAATGCCCGTATCGGTGCAGTATCTGTTGGTCTGCTCTCCACCCTGCAGGAGGACAATGGACTTCTCCGGCACATCTTTGTTTGCTCTCAGCCGATCACACAGGCGTGTTCTATTCAAAGCAAAAAGTTCCGCTGCGACTCTCAAAGTTTCTTTCCCCAACCAAAAATAGGGCCTAGGAAGGAGGAGGAGAAATTGGCATTGATGTGCAAAAGACAGTGCCGCATAGTGGTTAGAGTGTCACACTAGACCTGAATTCTAGCCCCCCCCCCCAGCTATGAAGCTCCCCCTCACGGACTCTCAGCATATAACCCACCTCGCAGGGTTGTTGTGGTGTGGATAAAACAGAGGAGAAAAACCTGATAAGCCCCCAGGGTTCCTCGCAAGAGGAAGCGGGCTAGCAATGTAATGCAATTTAAAAGAGGCAATGATCTATATTTGCTTAACATCTTTTAGAAATCCTATGCTTATTTATTTCCATAATAAACTTTCAACTCAGCATCTAAAAAAAGATCCCCATGCAGTGAACAATAAAGGAGGAAAGATGGCTTCCCGAGGCGGGTTTTCTCGGCAAGTCTAGCGTGTTATGTACAAAACAAGCCATTCCAGAAAGGAAATTGCCATGGCTTCGGAGACAAACAATGACCGTGCTCAGTTGTTGCTAAGAAAGATTTCAGCTCACATTAACCCGAGCACACCAAGTGCAGAATGTTCCCTCCTGTATTAATTATTATACGGCTATCTTGGAAAATTGCAACTCGTAAAGGTAACCTTTGCTTTATAGCAGCAAAGACCAAACTTCGGTGCGACACCAGCCACAGAAGTTAGAGATGCACACTGCATGCAGCAGCAAATGTAGCATAAAGGCACTATTAATCTGTAATGCCTGGAGACAGTTCTGCAAAGCCAAAAGGTCAAACTTCATCGATATGCCAACACACCTTCTGAAAACCTGGCCAACTGCTTATCTGCACTTGGCAAGAACTGGAGGGCCCCAGGAACAGCTCTGCCCACTCACTTTAAGCACAAGGTGAACGGCCCCAGGACCCGTTCCCCAGCAGCCACAACTTGGGGGGGGGGGGCTCCTCTGTCCAGGGGAGGAAGAACACAGATCTAAGTTTACTGCTTCATCTGGATAGTTAGGGATAGATCAGCAAAAATTCCTATCTGTTTGCCTACAGAGCAACAGAAAGAAAGATGGCTCTCCTGTCTCAAATTATGAACAAAGGTCCTGGTGCATCTTCCACATGGAAAGACTGTAAGCACCATTCATTTCTGAGCCGCAGAATAAATCACTGGCTCAAGATTCTTTAATTCTAGTAGCCCAGCCAGGAGCTACTTCAATTCTGCATGTAGCAGCTCCATCTCTTCCTAAATTTCAATTCCAGGATACATTCAGAGTCCCCAGGCTGGAACAGGACCCCTCACCCCGGCCCTGTGTGCAAGGGCTGCTTGTAAGATCTGGACCAAGCCCTCTGGGCCTACTCTAGAATAAAAGTAAAGCGCCTAGACAGTTGCAAGATGCAAACCCTGGGCAGTGCCGGAAATCTGCACCTGGCTGGTGGATCTTCAGACAACAAAAAGCAAGCCCAGCATTTGTCCGCCCAGGCGACCTACCCCCCGTGCACCAATTACTAGGAATAGGCGAGATGCAACTCAATGCAATGATGAGACTGGCTTATGCCCCGGGAAATGGCTGGATCCAATAAGGGCGGGAGGGCTCGCTCAGTGCCGCGGCCAGAGCGCTCCTGCTCAAATGCTGGCAGTCGAGGTGCACAAGGAGGCTCCCAACAGAAGCTGAGCGGCAAGCCGGACAGGACAGCGCGGGCTGGTGGTGGCTGGGGAGAAAGGCGGCTCACGGGCCTCCTGCCGCTCCCCTCCGGCCCTCACCCCTTTCTCAGGACTAGGCAGAAACCCCGTGCATTTCCAGCACGTGACTGAGCAAGGGGACGGCAGATAAGGGCCCTGAGCGCTTCAAGTCCGATTTGGTGACCTCCTCAAGCGCACTTGGAACGAATCTGGCCACAACGCTGCTTCAAACCAGTTCCAGGTCCGCTTCTTCCTAGGATTAAAGGCCCCGCTCAGCCCAAGGGGTTCCAGTCCCAGAACAATGCGGGAGCTACTGAAGGCAGCCGGGTGAGTGGCACCCAGAGGCAAACCGGGGTACAGAGCCACCCCCTCTGCCTTCTGGCCCACATGGGAGCAGAGAGGGCGCGTCCCCCTTGCTCCTGCCTGGGTGGGCAACTTCTGCAGGGTTCAGAGGGCAATGCCCCCCAGAACCCACCGGAGACCGCACCCCAAGCCCTGCTGTTCAGCCACCAAGTTTGCCAGTGGCAACCTTTCTGCGTCGACTCGCACTTCAAAATCGGGCGCAAACTGATTCGGCCACCGAAAAAGCCAGGGCGAGTGGGGTGAAGGCCACGGACGGGCGTTGCCAACCGCTGCTTTGCCCTTCCCACCATTTCCACGGTCGTCAAAGAGACGCTTCGCATTAAAACTCCACTTTCCCATGAAGCAGCAGGCCTGCTTTTGGTTCACTGCGGAGGGGCGTTCTTATGTGCATGATCGCACTGTTATCACTTCCCCGGATCCGCCATGATCTATTCCTTACATTTTTAATCCATCTCGTGACTAATGTTCTCTGGGCAGATTATTTTAATTTCTCCAGATTAATTATGGATGCCCTGTTTGTGTACGTAAGTTGCTTGGAGACTGCTTTTTACTGCAGGAAGTGCCACATCAGTTTAATGATGATGACAATGCTGCTACAGCAATGCTCCACATGGACAAGTGGGAATTCCGCAAAATATCTTGCTCGGCGCAGAAAACGCCGCATCAGTAAGAAGAATACTTGGTATTTTAAAAAAGGCTTGGTGATGCCAGAGCAACGGCATCTTTCTGTCCCACTACAACTATGAAGGAATCGGGGGGGGGGGGATATTTCATGTGCTCATGCAAAAGGCCCAGATAAAAAGCAGCGGCTTTTTCCTCCACGCCTCGCATTCTGAGATCTATCAGGCCCTGCAGGGATGGGGTGGAGAGCATTCTCAGACCCTTTGCAGAAGGCTTTGTAGACCCCGCAGCATGACCGCAATGCACTTCTCCATCACCTTGCCTTGTAGACACACTGCAAAATAAGCACCGTCGCCGTCAGGGCTGTACATCAAGAATCCAAGTTTGGCAAGGTCAAAACCAAGGCTCCTTCATCACAAGCTGAGCCCTTCGCTTCAGCTAATCCTTCACCCAACAACAGAACAAGATCCCTGCCTCCGCAACACCATTCTGACCAAACGGATGATGAATGGGCCACGGCGGTCACCCCCAGCCGCCCAAGGAGGCACAACACACATGGGGCAGATTTTGGCAGGATTCTTAATGCCCACCCCTTCCTTTGGAAAGGTATTTGGGGTAGAAACGGGACTGTGAGTGCCAGGCTCAGCTGGAGGACTTTCCTGGTGCCATTCTGCACTCTACCTTCACCCAGACAAGGTGTGATCAGTCCATCACCCGGCAGGCCCACCCTAACGGACTCGCTTGGTCCTTGGAGCTTGGAGAAGGGAGCTTTTTCTCTTGCTGCTCAGCACCCTGATACTTCCCAGTGCAGGCCCACGCTGCCCTTCCTCTCATCCATGCATTCAATTCTGCATTCAAAAGGCCCTTGCAGCAGATTGCTACATTGCCATCACATGCCCCCAACTCATCTCCAACTTAGAAAGCCCCCCAAAATGCTCTCTCGCTCAGCTCTTCTAAGTTCAAGGCTTCCTTGACGGAGTCCTTCCAACTCAGTTTTGGTCCTTTCCTTCCACTGCCGTCAGCTCAGCTCTCCCTCGCAGAAGTGTCTCCTCCAGCGAGCCTCGCCTTCTTAGGATGGCCGGAAGTACAGCAGCTTCCGTTGTGCGCATTTTGCCCCAAAAGAGGGTCTCCTCCATCACAGCATCCCCTCCAGTGAACCTCACCAGATGCCTACACTGCACCAGCAAAGCCCTTTATTTTCCTAGACACCTAGTCCTGGATGGCTTTTGTTCTGTATTTTTTATTATTTCATTTCTAGATTGCCCCACAGCTAAAGCTCTCTAGGTGGCTCACAGAAATCCATAAAAACAGGAAATAAAAACACAATGAAAAAAACACCATAAATTTTACTACCGTCTCCTTTTCTAGTCGACTCTTTTAGCCGTTTTCTTTTAGATTGCATTTTATTCTTTTAGTTCAGGGGTCGGCAACTTGTAGACCAGCCCCATTATCCATTTCTGCAAGTCCCATCAGCCCTGCTCAGTACAACCAAGGGTGACTGTAAGCTGAAACAACTGGAGGGGCACAAAATGCCCACTTGTGTTTGTTGTCTGTCCAGCCAACATACACTATGAGGAAGATTAAAAACAGAGTAAGTGCAGACACTGGGCGCCCATGGACGGCTGTGGGGCTGCCTGGTAATTGTGAGGTCAAGGGGAAATTAAATGCGCCAAGTACAGATGGTAATAACTTTATTTACGAGGCCACTCACAAAATGGTCACTGCAGGATCACACAGAGCACTTCGCACTCAGCTACGGTTTTGTGTTATGGTTAACAAGAAACCAAGTCTTGCGGCCACCGCTTGGGAAACTGATGAGGCAATTCACACAGGCTGGGCTCACGCTGGGAAAAAGCAGCCATGTGTGGGCTGCCCACCCCCATGCGGGCTGCGAACCACCCGGCTTCCTTCACTACCTGGCTGGCGTGGCTTTGATAGGGTTCCAAGGCCACCCTCCACCGCACGCCTCACCAGGTCGGGGCGACACAGGAAACCACACGCTGCCACGGAAATCAGAGGGCCACCCGGCGCATAACCGGCGCTGGGAGCCGTGAGGCAAAGCAGCCCCACCTGTCCACGCCTGGCTATTTGCACTTCCCACATTGGAGTGTTCGCAATTCCTGTTCCACCCGCTATCCAGGTGCACAGATGTTCTTGTGCAGAGTTGGTTTGTGTTGGTTTGTTTTCCTGCAACAGACTAGCATGCCCACCACTTTGGAACCCTTTTCCTGAGCAGGTTCAGCAGCTGAGGTGCCTCTTTCCACGTGATTCTAAGGGGGCTCAAACGTCGGGTCCCTATGAATTTTGCCCCATCTCCCGCCCCTCCCGATTTGCTCCTCCTAGGCATACTGAGCTCAGCTTGCAAAAGCCTCGGCGTGCCTGGGAAAGGGCGGTGGGCAGCCTGCTCACAGCAGGGCCGTGCCGTTTCCCTGCTCGAAGGGCCCAGGGCCCTCTTAGCCACATGCAACCTGGAGGAGGGCAGGTGAGGAGCCATGGCTTGCAGCTTCCTGCTCCTCCAGCACCCACTCCCATTCCCTGCAGGAGGGGAACCCGGCTAGGGGCAAATGCCTCTCCCCCCACAAGGCAGAAGGGAGCGGCACCAACAGCAGAGCTGAGAGGGGCTGCATCTCATCCAAAGTGCAGAACCTCCCCCCGCCTGGCATCCTCCAGATGTGCTGGAGCGCATCTCCCAGTGTTTCTGGCCATGCTGGCTGGGGCTGGCGGGAACACAGGAGCTGCCTCCTACTGAGTTGGACCCTAGGCCCATCTAGCTCAGTACTGCTGGCTCTGACTGGCAGCTGCACCGCAGTGCCCCAGGCACACTTTACCCTGCGTGGCCTGGAGGTGCTTGGGAACAACCCCAGGTCCTTCTGCCTCCCACGCCTGAGCTACGGCCCTTCCGGCTCAAGTCCCAAGTGCTTGGAGAGCACCAGGCTGCGGAGGACTGCTCCAGCAGATGGGACAGGAGGGACCTTGCTGATAAACACGATCTGTCCGTTCCAGGGTGCACACAGCACGAAGGGCAACAGGTGTGCCAACGTGGCAAAGGGTACGTCAGCAAGACTATCCCTCACTGTGTTCTGCAGCTGTGCCGCACGCACACACACTGTACATATCACAATGCCTGGCAGATGGAAAGTCGTATCAACCCTCATCCTTCAGCTTTTGTAGCAAGGGAGCATAAGGAAAGGAGGCTCCCATTCTTGCTATTTCAGCTGGACTTACTGTGCAGGCCCATGACTCAAAATGCACTCAAGCACATTCACCATCTGGATAGGCAGTTCCGGAGTGTTGGGGGGGGGGTGCAGCACACACGCAGGGCAGGCACATGTGTACAAGTGTGTCTGCATGCGTGAGCACTACAGAAAAGAAGCAATTTCCCTCCCACCCAATTTTCAGTATCTCTAAAGGACTGGGAAAGTGTGTCAAACCTGAAGGATGCCCACTGAAACGAACACAGGTGCTCGCTCAGCTTTTAGGAGGCACACGCCCTGATCTCCACAGTAATGACAATATGACCGCGCATGCAGCGCATGGCATTTGCAAAACCGGCACACTCTTGTGACCATAACCCCACCCGGAAACTTAGAAAACTTCCTCCCCAACTTCAAGCTTTGCAGTTGTTTTGGACTAGGACTTCCATCAGCCCCAGCCAGCGTAGTTTGGCCAGGAGAGCTGGGAATCATACTCCAAAACCTCTGGCAGGGCTCCACATTTCGACTACTGCAGCTTTTACAGGCAAGCAACAGATCTCCAAAATTTCAGCGATCAGACTCAATCTGTGGCCCAGAGCCAAAGCTCAGCCACTGGACCACATGCGCTCTGCTCCGTCAGTCAGTCACTTGGCCAAAGGGGCTTCTGAAGGGGGACTTCTTAGGAAACCGATCAAACTGGGAGAAGACACAAAGGCAGCAAGCAAAACTCAAACACATTGATCAGAGTACTGTATTTACCACCCAATTGGCCTTGGCTATATCTATATTCTAAAGAATCGCTCTATTTCATGCAGCCATGTTGACAACCTCTCTGGGAAGAGAGTTATGGGGCAGGAGGAAAGGAGGCAGTTAGTTCCCCGAGTCTTTGTTGCTCACGGATATGCAGCCAGGCCACACGCGCTTGCTTGGAGAGGCATCCCAGTCACACATTTGGAAAAGGGGACTGACACCAAAGGGGCACCTGTGCAGGCTGCAACTTGAAAAATTCAGCGCTCTCCCCAAGGAAAGGGCGCAGGGAAAGAACACTCTGCCCGTTTCTCATAGCCCAGCAGGGTCAACACCTGCAACAGCCACAATGCTCAGGGAGGGATTTTTCCGGCAAAGGCCTCTGCTCTTCAGCCGTGGCTCCTCTTGGACAAGAAATCCCTGAGAGGGAGGGCGCTGAGTGCTGGCCACGAGAGAACCAACCTCTAGCCTCTGCTCTGCCATTAAGTTTCCTGGGAGAGCCTGGACCAGCCTCGGCCTCTCACCTCACTGACCTCCCCGAGCTTGCACGCAGGGGAAGTTGCATAGCGCTCCTCCTCGCATTATCCTCAAAACAATCCTGTGAGGTTGGCAGGATAACACAGAAGAGGAAGACGGGGTAAGTCCGACGGGGCCCCGCGGATTGGGGAGGCTGGCAATGGCGCTGCAGCGTGGTGCGGTGGCCGAGAGCGCAGGACGGGGCCGCGGGGGACCCGGTTCTGGTCTTCGCTCGGCCAAGGAACCAACGGGGTGACTCCAGGCGTGCCGCAGACCCTCGGCCCAGCCTCCCTCGCAGGGCTGTTGTTGCGAGGCTACGGCTGAGGGGAGGGGGAGGAGAACTAAAGAAGCTCCCTGAACGGAAAGAGGATGGGAGACCGACTAAGGAGCAGACGAACAGGGGAGGCCGCGGAGAGCCGCCCCCGAGCAACACGCGCCTCCTTACCCCGCGGACGCAGCCATGTTGCCTCGCTGGCTCGCTCGCTCACGTGACCGCCGCGGCCGCGTCAGCTGCTTTGAAGGGGCGGGGCGCGGCGGGGCGGGGCCTCGTCGCCCGGCAACGGCGCGCGCGCCCCGAGCGAGGCTGCCTCCCCTGGGCGGGGCGGGGCTTGGCCCCCATCCTGCGAGCGGTGCCTCTCCGCCGTGGCTGCCGCAGCCCGGGGGGCCGTCAAAAGGCCGGAGGAAAAGACGCCTCTTCCCAAAGCGACTGCAGGGCGGCGGCGGCGGCGCAGCAGCGCACGACACAGAATGCTGGCCGGCCGTCTAAGTGACGCTGGGCCAGCCCCGGCCTCTCGGTCCCGCCTACCTCACAGGGTTGTTGTGGGGATAAGTTCGAAAGCAGGAGGAAATCGGCAGAAGCCGCCTTAAGACGCAAGTGGGATATAAAGAGAATGTGGGAACAGTCTAAAGCAAAGGTAGCTGCGCTGGCCAAAAAATGCTTCTCCGGGAAGCTTGGGGGTTGCCCAGATCCAAGGGGCATCCCTACTGGGGTCATCAGGCATGTCTGGATGCACGGCACGCCCACCCCCCAGGTACCCACTGTCCAACTGTGACTGCACCAGCAAACAACTAAGCAGCACTTCACAAAACATTGTGTCAGCACATTGGAAAACAAGCAAGAGTAATGAAGCCTGTTTTTTAAAAGCGACCTTTTTAAGAAAAATGTTTTTCTTAAAAAAAATGCAGGCAAATAGTAGCTACCCAAGAGACAACACGCGCTCTTGATGCTGAGCTCGTAGGAGGAAGTGGTTTTAATCATTGCCAGATACACAGAACTGCTTTCCCCTTGGATGTCTTGCTGGTGAAGCAGAAAGCAAACTATTTTCAGATTCGGTGGCATCAGCCAGAAACGAAGCAGTTGCTCTTCCCACATGCAAATAGCAACTCCAGCATGCTTCCCCAGGACGTTTCTTTCCAGTTTCTGTGCTTTTGGTGCTGCATGCCACCTTTCTCCAGCACCTGCTAGCATCTTCCACCTTTGAAGACTTCATGGCATTTGACCAAGAAGGGGGGCATCCCAGTAGGTGGAAGGGGGTGTCCAAGTAAGACGATCTTCCACCGTAGTCTCAGGTGTTCCCCAACTGCTTCCAGCTGAAGAATCTGTCCAGATCCCTCCCTAGCTGAGCAAAGCAGACAGTGGGTAGGTTACATGGCAAGGAGAAGCCCATACCTTGCAAGAGCAAAAGGTGGGATGCAAGAGCAATAAGGGCGATATTTTTAAAAGCGCTCCGCTGAACAGGCTATCCCAGCTTACATACCTAAACAAAGAACAGTTCTGTGCCTTTATATACATTAATGAGCTATAAAGATGTAGAATTTTGATTGCTGAAGGGTGCAGCCATGGACTCCGCTGATCAGGTCAAGAGGTCACCAGTCGGGTTTGCACAAGTCCAAGTCTTTAATGCAAAATGAGGATGAAAATCTTCAGGCAGATGGATCATACCAAAGTACTTGCCTTCTGGCCCTTAATCACGAAGCAATTTCACACGAAATGTATTCTGTTGCATTGATCTTTGGGATCGTGAAATATGCCCACGCTGCTCTTGCTGTCGAAATGGTTCTGAACGACAAGGAAAAGAAAGTCTGATTACTCACCAGTCAAGTTTTGTCTCAGTTTCCAAAATCAAAATGTGTCCACTCCACCCAGCATTTGAGTTTCCCCAAGATGGATTCCTACCATATTGATTATTTATTATGAATGCTTATTTTTCATCTTATTGAAACTCTTTATGTTTATAACTTACAGCATAGGTCAGGACAAAGCATTATATCAGAGTGTTTCATAAATGATTTTCCGAAGTTACTTAGAATTTTATATAGCAAGTATTATCCATTGTGGAGACTATGCTAATATTTCTGAGGAACACTGGCTCACTTTAGGAATCGATCTGATATGAATTATAATGCCCTTCATTCTTGAAGCAGCAAGAGTTTCTTCAGTGATTTCCCATAATTTTTGCAGAGGCTGAGCTGGCTTTTTCTGTGGCCAAGAGCTCATAGTTTACAGCATCTATTGAGTCTTCATCAGCCTGCCAATGCGGGAAAAGGGGTGGCTGGCCTTTATCGAACCAGCTCGCTTTTGATGGTCTGCAGGGCCAGCCCGACTGTGAGGCGGGATGAGGGGACTGCCTCCGGGGGCAGCTGCTGAGGTCTGTCAACCCGCCCAGTCAAGTTTAGGTGCACTTGTGACCCACACGCACCCCTCTGCAAGGGACGTTCACCCATCAGTAAAAATATAATGCCACCCATAGCCAGGAATCAAGAAACGGGGACCGTGCTTTCCAACAGGTGGAAAGTGTGAGAGATTTACCTGAGTGTGAGATTTACCTGTGGCCCAGGCCCTGCCTACTTTGGTCCTAAATGGAGAGGGGAGAAGAAAGAGGAGATCGTGTCCCCAAATTGTCCTTGCCTAATTTTCTCCTTGGGAGCTGAAGAGCCACATTGGCTAATGTCATTTCTGGAGTGGAGCCGCCGCAGGAGGAATCCCACGCTGTCTCGTTCCCACCTTCCAAACATTTGTACAGATATTTGTTCCCAGGCAGTTGGATAGCCCTTCACAGATAACCCTTCCCACCGGCTAAAATGCCCAGTTTCTCCCGTCCTGCGAGAGGCAGTCAGAATGGAGCTTTCTGTGTCAGGCAGGAGGGGAGGAGGAGAGATTGTGGATCCCCCCTTTCAGTGTGAGGTTCTGCCAGCACGCGCCACCCAAAAGAACCGCGACGTCCTCACATTTCTTCTCCTCCCTTTATCAGTGCCCATCCAGGGGAGGGGAGGTGCAAAAGCTGAGCCAAGCCAGGACCCTCTGTGTACGTCGGAATGGATGGGGAACCTGGCATATGACCAGCTGGACCATCAATGGACATCGTGGAGGGGGGCCGCCAGAAGGAAAGACCAGAGGATGGCCAGGCCCTTTCAGGCCAGCCTTCCCTAAGCTGGCGTTCCCCAGATCCTTTGGACCTCAGCCTCCCCTGGCTGGGGGCGATGGGAGGCCTGACCCAAGTCCACCGGGAGGGGCACCTGTCCGGGAGAGCATGAAGGGGACCAATATGCTCTCCCGCAGGCCAGGCCCGACAGCGCAACAGCTTCCCACGAGGGCTGGTCCTATTAGAAGCAATGAAAAGCATCTCCATGCAACCCGCCTCCCCATGCCCCCAACTGCCGCCCCCTGGGACAGGTCTGTGAAGGGAAAGTTTGGTTGCTATGGAGGCTTGATGGTTGCGAGATGCAAGCACCTCGAACGCATCTGTTCCTCGCCAGAAACGGGGAGTGTGCATGGCCCTAGCTGAACACAAGGACTCATTTCTCGGCTCCAGCTGTCACGTACGAGAACACAACTTCTCATTAACGTAACTTGAACACCTAATCCCCTTTTCATCTGATGGAAAATTTTCACCCAGCTGCCTCCCGTCTTCAATTGAGAAACAAAGTGGCTACCAACTGCCCATAAGACAGTCTAATCATATCTTATATTTCCCCGACTAGAACAGCCACTCTGCCTTGGTCCAAAGCAATTATGCCTGCCCGGATCCATCTCCTCTGGTCCCTTGGGACGAAGCATAATGTGGGAAGGCAGTCTGCAGAGGAGGAGGAAGGATGCTACGAACATCTGGTACAGGACACAGTGACTAAACAAAACTCTCCTGGAACAGAAAATTCATTTTTTTCCTAAGCAAGTTTCCTTAGATCACAAAGCGTCCCTGGAGGCAAACCATCAAAACAGCTCAGTATGGGTGGGACGAGGGATGTCAAAGCAGCACGGCTTCTGGTCTCATGACGACTCCATCTGAACAGAGGTGTGCTCAAATTTATTTATTTTCTGGATTTTATTTTTAATTGCACTTCATTTTTGGACTACAAGACAGCTTCTAATAATTAAAGTAAAATATACACTACCAAAGAGATCCATAAAGGAACGTATTTTCTAGCTCAGAATGAAAACACCAAAGCAGCAGAAAGCAGAAATTACAGCTATTTAAACTACTGACAGAGCAGAATCTTAAACACATCTACTAAAAAATAACTCCCATGAACTTTATTGGGGCTTCCTCAAAGTACAGGGGCCTAAGATTGCAGCCTTTATGTATTTAAATTCACCTAAAAGCTTGGGGGAATGGACATGTATTCACCTACAGCTTGAACAAGAATGAAATGCAAAGGTAACTACCGTATTTTTCCATCTATGAGACGCCCCCATGTATAGGACACCCCGCACTTTTCTTACCGATCTCCGAGCGAGCAAGCTGCTGCCTCCCTGCCACCACCGCCTTCCAACTGGCCCCCTGTTTGAGGATGCCCGATTGAAACAGTGTGGAGGGTGGAGTTCCCTGCTTTTTTTTTTTTTTTTAAACAGGGCATTGAGATAGAGACCGACTTGGGCTGGCCAATTGTGTTGTTATTGTGTGGGGTGATGCATGGAAGCCCCATCAGGCTCTTTGGGGCCTTCTCATGACACCGCTTCCAGTCCTCCATAAGATCCCCCAAACTGCGACTATCCGGGCAGCGCTGGGGGCATATGTGTCTGGAAGGAGGCTCATGGAGCTGAAGTGGAACCCTGAAAGGATGGGTGGGC